TCCATCTCCTGACCTCGTGATCTGCCTGTCTCGGCCTCCCAAAGTGCTGGGATTACAGGCTTGAGCCACCGCGCCCGGCCGAGTCTTAGTTTTCTAATCCCTGTTGTAGGAAGTGAAGAGAGTGGCACACCCATATGTCATGGTCCCCACAGGACAGCTGGTAATACCCTGACTCTTCCCTTGCGCCCCAAGGTAAGGGGGAGTTGTGGAACTGGTCCTCTGGCCGTCGGAGCTCCGTAGCTGACAAGGTCAGCCCCTACCCACTGACAGAAGAGGAAGCTGCTATATGATGTAGTTCTCGCAGCCACCAAATGTGGCTTGTTACACTATTCTTCCCCATGTAACTCACCCATGAGTTAGCCAAGGAAGACCAGTAAGCCCCTGTAAAATGTTCTAGAAAAATAGCCCCAGTTCTTAGCCAATCTCAGGGGTGCACTGACCAGTTTAGCCCAAGCGTGGTAACCGTGCCTTCCTCCATCTCAGCCTCTCACACTCACATCCACACAGATAACACCAATTGATCCCTTTGCTACTGAACCTACCACACTGCAAACTGCCTTCCATAGGGTGGAGGCTAGACAGCAGGAGAGCATCAATCTCTCTGTCTCCATCTCCCTTCCTGCCTCCATCTCCCTTGGGACCAGGACTCAAATGACAACATGGCAGAGGTGGCTGGCACCCAGCCCCCGGGGAAGGGGAGATCCCAGACATTACTGGGGGGCTGCTCCTTCAGGCTCGGCGTGGGGAGAGTAGTGTCCCATCTGGCTCGCTCCCACTGACTCCCTCTGGCCACCACCAGCATGGACTGGCCTGCAGGAACCATCATCCAGGCAGGGCCCACAGAGATGGAGGAAGTGCTGCCCAAGAGGTCGGGGGCAACTTGAGATACAAAACAGAAAGAACCAGTGAGGTGGGGGTTCGGAGCCACCTCAGGACACTGAGACAGCTGGAAGAGTCCGTTTCTGGGGGCTCCAAACCTCCCCTTCCCTGGCTCCACACAGCTCCCACATATACTGTGTTCAATTAGAAAAAAGAATGCTGATTTTTATAACGTGCCTACTATGTGCTGAGTGTCAGGCTAGGCAGTTTGCGACCTGAGCAAACCTAAGGAAACCAGTTATTGTCCTTCACGACCCTGTGAGGGATGCATCCTCCCTCTTCTGCTTTGCAGAAGAAGAAACTGAGGCTCAGAATGATGGCACAACTTAATCACCCAAAGCCCTGCCAGGCAGTAGGCCATTTGCAAGTCATCCCTCCTTGCAAAATGGGGGATGGTGATGACAACCTGGGAGGGCTATGGTGAGGACGGAATGAATTAAGATAAGGACATATCTAGTCTTTTTTGACTGAAGTCCCTCTCCTCTTTCCCCTAACAACAGCTGTCCCTACTGAGTACAGTACTATCATTATCCCCTTTTACAGATTGGAAAACTGAGGCATGGAGAGTTTAAGCAACACGCACAAGACCACCCAACTAACAAGCAGAGGAGCCAAGATCCCAACTCAGGGGATTTGACTTTCTTTTTTTTTTTTTTTTTTGAGGCAGGGTCTTGTTTTGTCATCCAGGCTGATGTACAGTGGCACAGACGTGGCTCACTGCAGCCCTGATCTCCCAGGCTCAAGTAACCCTCCATCCTCAGTCTCCTGAGTAGCTGGGACTACAGGCACGTGCCAGCATGGCCAGCTCATGTTTTTAAAATTTTTTGTAGAGATAGAGTTTCGCCATGTTGCCCAGGCTGGTCTCGAATTCCTGGGCTCAAGTCATCCTCCCACCTCAGCCTCCCAAAGTGCTGGGATTACAGGCATGAGCCACTGTGCCTGGCCTGAGGACTTGACTGTCATCCTACTCTTTCTACCTCAGCTGGTTTCTCATAGGCACTTCTCTCCACACCATCTGTTCTCAACCTGGGCAATCCTGTCGATGTTTGGAGACACTTTGGGTTTTCACGCCTTGGGGATTAATTAGGTGCTACTGTTGTCTAGTAGCTGGAGGTCAGGGATGCTGCTCAACATCGTACACAAGGCAACCCCCACACAAGGAATTATTCAGCCCTAAATGTCAACAGTGCTGAGGCTGAGAAATCCCACGCTAGACCAGCACTATCCAATAGAAACACAATCAAGGGGCTGGGAGGTGGCTCACTCCTGCAATCCCAGGACTTTGGGAGCCTGAGGCAGATGAATTGCTTGAGCCCAGAAGTTCTAAGCCCAGCCTGGGCAACATGGCAAAACCCCATCTCTACAAAAAATCAAAAAAAAAAAAAGTAGGCAGGTATGGTGGCTTGTGCCTGTGATTCCAGCTACCCAGGAGGCTGAGGTGGGAGGATCAATTGAGCCCAGGAGGTCGAGGCTGCAGTGAGCCACGATTGCACCACTGTACTCCAGCCTGGCAACAGAGATTATATATAATCTTTATTTACAAAAACAGGTGAATGGGCCGAATTTGGCCCATGAAAAGGGGTTTGTTGACTTCTGATTTAGGCCCTCTTTCAGAAAGAACTTCATACCTCTCACAGATAGAAACCTGTCACAGACGGAAACCGTAAGATGACTGTTTTTGTTAAGCCTGTGAGGCTCAAGCCCCAGAAAATCAACCAAGGATGCGGTTGCCATTTCCATGTGGGTTGAAGCTGACCTTGAGAATGAAGGCAGTGAAAGCACAATGCCTGCTCCCTGCCAGTCAAAACGATGTGCATGGAGTGGTGGTTACAGGCACAGGCTCTGGAGCGAGACCTCCTACATTCAAATCCCAGCCATGACAAGAATTAGTTATGTGATCCTGGACTGGTCGCTTAACCCTTCTGTGAATCAGTTTCCTCCTTGCAAAATGGGGGATGGTGATGACAACCTGGGAGGGCTATGGTGAGGATGGAATGAATTAAGATAGGGACAGCGGGACAATGGACAGAAGTGGACCTGGCACACAGTGGCACTCAAGACACGATATCTGCTATTGCTTACTAAGCATCTGCCAAGCGCCAGGCCCCATGTCAGGTCACCAGGTGTTTTAGGAATGATCTTGCTGATTCCTCAGAATATGAATGCTGGTGGGGAGTGCTGTCACCCTATTCTACAGAGAAGGAAGTGAGGTCTGCGGAGGACAGGTCACTTAACCACACCGCAGTGGCAGAGCAGTGGCAGTGATGCATTCTTTTCTCTAAACCAATGGCTCTCAACCAGGGGCAATTTTGCCACCCTTCAGAGGACACCTGGCCATGCCTAGAGACATATCTGGTTGTCACAACTTAAGAGCAAAGTAAGTTTGCTACTTGGCATCTAGCGGGTGTTCAACATTCCACAATGCACAGGACCACCTCCTACAACAAAGAATTATTCCATCCCAAATGACAGTAACACTAAGGTTCAGATGTCCAATTCTAGATAAACTGAATTAGTTGGGTGTTTCCTCAAGGGCAGACGAGGATCCAAGTGCAAGTTCCAAAGGCACATCAGTAAGGGAGGGGCAAACTGAGACAAAAGAAGAAAAGGGGAGGGAGTAAAGGGTTAGTGGCCAAGCAAGTTACCAATAGAGGTAACTATGCTTAATCTCCCAAGGAAGCTCTAGGAGTCTGTGCAGAACATGTATGTCAGAGTTTGCCTCACAAAGGGAGAGGGAGCTGGGACATTGATACACTAACTCCTATCAGCCATGAGCTGAGGGCTGCTCCAGGGAGGCACTGGTTCCCTGATGCTTCCAATATGCCCCATCCCTGGCCAGAAGGGACTCTTGCGGCCAGAGAAAACCCTCAGGCAAAGAGATACTGAGACAGAGAGCTGCAGTTGGTAGCTGAACAGCGTGCACAGAATGAGAAATGCTGAGGTTGTGGGTGAGCACAGCCAGTGTCTGTTCCACTGGCCTTCATCAAGCCACAGGAGGATGACATGGAGAATCTCCAAATAAACTAAACACCCAGCACTCTGCCTAGTTGGATTGCCTGTTGGATGAGAAGCTGTGGAGTTTCCTGGGAAGGCAACTACAGGGGATCTAGCCCTCTCTGATAACAGGTTCTCGAGTGGAACTCTTAATGAATGTTGGTCTTCACAGGGGTGGGAAGCCCAAGTTCTCGGGCAACAGGACAGAAGCTGGCTCAGCATCCCACGGGATTTCACCCTCATACATGGAGCCTTTTCAGCCTTGGGGCCCACAAGAGCCTTGGTGTCTGGCCAGGATTTTGAGCACCTGGTTCCATGGAGTGGCTGGGAGGCCCTGATCCAGGGCAGGAACAGACATAGTCATGTACACTTCAGGACACTCTGTAGTGCTTAAGGGATTCCAGCCTTGTCCAGGAGGACATCTGCTCTCAAAAGAGCCTCTCACTGCCCAGCACGTGGCTGCTTCAGCAAAGGGAGGCTCAGAGCCATTATCCTCGGATGGGAACATCAGGGCCGCTGCATGTTAAATAAAATGAAGTGAACAGAAAGAGCCTACCACTCAATACTGATTTGTTTAACAGACACCCATACCATGCTTCATAAATGCCAGGCCCTCTTCTAAGTACTTTTCAAATCTTAATTCACTGAATCCTCACAATAGCCCCGCAATGATGACGCTCTTAGCAGTAAGAACTTCCATTTGCTACGCATCTGTGTCACGAAGGCACCGTGCAACCTGCTTGCCATTCACCATCATCTCATGTGCTTCGCCTCTATTGGTGTCAAGTTTGACTACAACTTACTGAGGGCCTACTGTGTGCAAGGCCTTACTCCATGAGCTCTACGATGAATGTTTCATCATCTCATTGACTCTTTATAATAACGAGAAGTAGAATATTAACAACAACATTTGAGTGTTTTGTATATGTGTGAAATGCCTGATCTCATTTTAAAAATATTTTAATTTGCATTTATTTTGAGACAGGGCCTCACTTTGTTGTCCAGGCTGGAGTGCAATGACACAATCACAGCTTATTGCAGCCTCGACCTCCCCAGGCTCAGGTGATCCTCCCACCTCAGCCTCCCAAATAGCTGGGACCACAGATGCATGCCACCACACCTGGCTAATTTTTGTATTTTTTGTAGAGACAGGGTTTCGCCATGTTGCCCAGGCTGGTCTTAAACTCCTGGGCTCGGGCAATCCAAAGTGCTCCCTCCCAAAATTCGGCCTCCCAAAGTGCCAGGATTATGGGTGTGAGCCACCATGCCCGGCCGCCTTACCTCGTTTGAGCCCCAGAATGACTTATGTAACTGGTGCTATGAACATGCCCATTTTACAGATGAGGAAACTGAGGCACAGAGGGCTGAGATGACTTGCCCAAGTTCAGCCAGGATTCCAGAACCTATGCCATTGCCACTACCCCAGGCCACCTCTCCTAGTGTCTTTATTAGACAAGTAGAGGGTGGTTATTGTTCTTATTTGGGGGGGGAAACTGAGGCTACCAAGAAACCAACTTTGTTTCCAGATCCTCCTGTTAGCCCCAGAATCCAGATCTGTCATCTTCTAGTTTCAAACACCTGGAATCATTTTCAGCATCAGTTAGCAGGTGACTCCCTGGGGCCCGGGACAGAGCAGCTCACCGAATTCCGACTGCATGCCAGGGTAGATGATCCTGAACACGTAATCCGTGGCCTCGTCATCGTCTTTGTCTGAAGATGTGGACTCGGCAGAACCCTGAGGGCTTCGCTTGCGCAGTTTAGGAAACACTTTGCCCTGCAAGAACATGTCCCAAAGCAAGATCCTTGGGACACACCTGTCCCCACAACTTGCTTAGGCTGAGGGTATCAGTGGGGAGCGCATGAGGCCACACAGCCATATAAGGGCACACAGGCAAAAGCAACCACCCTCTGTGACCAGCCTCCACGGGTCCCCATGATCACTCACCTTACCCCGCTGGGACCACAGTGGCGGGTCCAACTGCCCATGCGGAAGCAGCCCATTCTCCAGGCACGAGAGGAACTGCAGGAGGTGCCCACCCTTGGGGAAGCGGAAGGGCGGCCTCTGGATCCCGTCCTGGCTGACCAATACCACTGTCCCGCCGCTGTCCACTGCCGCCACCAGCAGCCAGAGAAGACCCAGTGGGAAGTCACTATGAGGCACGGTGACAGCCCCTTCCTGCAAACACATCCCCCAGGGGTGCCAAGCCAGACCCAGGGATCCTGCTCTGAGGCTCTGGGAAAGGCCTGGGCAAAGGTCAGGAGCAGTTTTTACCTCCTCTGAGTCTCTCTCATCTCACCCACCATCCACCTCTGACTGGGGACTACAGGACAAAGTCAAGAAGAACCAAGTTGACCTTCCTGACATTAACCACCAAAAGAAAAAGATGCCCCCTAGCACCCTACGCTCCTCAGGAATCCTTTACAAATCTACCTAACCTATTTTTGTATGGAAGCCTTCAACTTCCCGTGTCTTGGGGCAGTAGATGACTCTGGCTAGCATGTATTGAGCACTTACTGAGTACAAGCACAGCATGTTAGAGGCACTGTCTTATTGAAATACAATATCCCTAAGAGTCCTACCTACTACTGCCTATTTTACAAATGACGAAACCAAAGCTCAGAGAGGTTAAGTAACTTCCCCCAAGGTCACACAGCTGATCGATGGCAGAGTCATCTAAGCATTATCAGTGCTTAGTAAGTGTCAGCAACTAATGCCATAGCCATAGGTGGATTTCATGCTGAGCCCTTAACATCCATCATTTCATCTTCACAACTACCCCATGAGAGGGTCCTGTTGTAATTCCCGTTACAGATGGGGAAACTGAGGCACAGAGAGGTGAGGTCCCTTGCCCAAGGTTGCACAGGTAATATGGGGTGTCCACCATATCACTGTCATACAACGCTAATGAATAGGCAGGGGTGGAGACAGGCAGGGGATCCAAGAGGATCAGAGGATCACAGCCCCCTTCCTGTCCCCACAGTCCCTACCTTGCTGGTGGCAGTGCAGGTAGACAATCTCCTCCAGGCGGATGGTCATGGCATAGTCCCAGTAGACGCTGGAAGTGGAGGGACGGTCAGGCTTGCAAGACTTCTACCTACCCCAGTGTGCAGACGGGCTCAGATGCCAGCAGACCACACCCAGGAGCTCCTCCACCCTTCCCACTAGGTCCCCAGCATGTGTCCCATCCTGCCCAGACTCTATATCCCCTTCTTCTGGTCTCAGAACCCCAATTTTCCGAGGTTACCATCCTCCCTACCCCCAGTCCATATGAGAGGTGAGGTGGACCCCACCCACTCTCCACCCTGGGACTCCAGGAATGGCCACCTGACCCAGGCCTGGTCAATCAACCTGTCCCACTGTTCCAGCCACAGTGTTCAGTGCAGGACTGACTCCTGACTCTGGCAGAACCAATGAGACTCAATTATTAGGCTTCCACTTGAATGACTGGGAAAGAGATGCCTCATTCTGTCTGGAGAGTAGTGGTAAGGGCAGAAGTCTGAAGATGGAAGCGACTATGCCTGAGAATGGCGTCAAAAGACAGGAAGACAGAGCAAAGAGATGGAAAGAGTGGAGGTCCCCGTCATTCAAGTCCCTGGATCCATCCATGCCTGAAGCTACTGCCCCTGGAGTTTTCAGTTCATGTGGGCCAGTGCTTAAGTCAGCTTGAATTTGGTTTTCTCTAACTGGCGTCTAGGAGTCTTGACTAAAACACATCCTAACTCCAGGCCACTATGTGTCCATGTGCAGCAGTTAGAATAGCCACTCAGTAGCTTCACAGGTCCCCAGCAGTGCGACTTGAGGGTTTCTCTGAGCCTCAGTTTCCTCATCTATAAAATGGGGACTAGAATAACACCCACCCCATTGTGTTGCTGTGAGGATTAAATAGAATCACGTATTTGAAGGGCTCAGCACAGAGATGATACATTAACAAATGCGCACCTGGGAAGTGGTCCCTATGATTATGTCTTTAAGCGTTTCCATTTCCAGCTCAAAACCTTGCTGCTGTCCTGTCCTGAAACAAATAGCTTTTCTCATCAGAACACACCAGGAGGTGGAGGCCACAGGAACTTGGGCTTTGTGGTGGCCATGGAAATGCACCACTCAGATCTCCTTCAGAAGACCTTGCTGAGGGGAGCAGAGCGGATTAACTTCAGAGGGCACCCCCTGGATCTATCACCACATTTGCACTGAAGCCATGCTTCCCTTAGGCTGCTCCCAGCCAGGACCTAGCATGCCGGAGTACTAGTGCCACTCATTCCTGCGAGACAAGGAACTCCTCCAACAGTCAATGGTCCACTGGAGACTTCCAACTGACCTGGCCAAACGGTCTTAGAGCCGTGCTGTGTCTCAGTCTCCTTCTGCCCGACCTTCCTTCCTTCCTCCTCTTCCTCCCTGCATGGCGGTCTGAAGGCTCTCCCTGTCTGCTCCTGCCCCTCCCTTAACTTGCACAGGTGCGTGCCCAGTAAATCTCTGCTGGTCCAATACTGTCTTGGCGCCTGCTTCTCGGAGGACCCAAACACACACAGGCTTCAAAGTCAGCAGCGTTCAAATCCCACTTCCACCAGAGACCTTAGCCAGTTCCTACCTCAGTTTCTGGCCCTCAGTTTCCCCAGTTGTGAAATGAAAAAAGTGGAATAGGCTCAGAAAAACCTTCAAGTCACGCTGCTGGGGACCTTTTCTCTTGGAAAGCCCTTCCTGCCCTGGCCTGTACCAGAATCAGCCTCACCAGAGTTCACGGAGGTAAATGTCCTTCGAAGACAGTCGAGGACACAAGGGCAACAGCCTCTGTTGAGCCCCTCCCATACCCAGTCTAGTCAGGGTGTCCTCCCTGGGCTCCCACAGCCCCGTGTGCCCGTCACGCTGGGTTGCAAACACCTGTCCTCTCCTCTGATTCCCCAAAGGGTGCTGAACACCTGCAGAAGGGCTCTGTTTTGTTTGCTTCTCTGTGATGCTCAGAGAATGTTCACAGTGCATAGTGAATGCTGAGCACTGGAAATGCCCAGTGAACAAAGCTGCCACCACCAGCCATCAGCAAGGAGGAGCTCTGTGGCCATAGTCTCTTTGGATCCATGAATATGACACCAACAGCCCCCATGACTGAGAGCCCTGTCCAGGTGCCAGGCTCCCAGCTAAGGGTTTTCCACGCACTTCTGTTACATAAATTCTCCCTATATGCTTATTCAGAGGTTCCCTTACTACATTCCCATCTTACAGATAAATAATATGAGGCTCAAGGAAGTGGAGCTGATTGTCCCAGGCCGCATAGCTAGGAAGGAGCAAGGGCTGTTTCTGGTTTTCTTTTGCATGTTTTAGCAGCTTTACTGAGGTATAATTTACACATCATAGAATTTACTCACTGTAAGTGTACAGTTTGATGAGTAAATATACAGATTTGGGCAACCATCATCACAAGCCAGTTTTAGAACATTTTTACCACCCCCAAAAGGTTCCTGTTGCCTGTTTGTGGTCAATCTTCCTTCCCACCCACAGCCCTAGGCAACCAAGAGTCTGCTTTCTTCTTTTTTTTTTTTTTTGAGACGGAGTCTCGCTCTGTCACCCGGGCTGGAGTGCAGTGGCCGGATCTCAGCTCACTGCAAGCTCCGCCTCCTGGGTTCCC